ACCCCTTCAACTGCTGGTGCCAGGAGCACTCAGGACAATAAAATCATAAATTTATGGACTTTCACTTGGTAACCCCTTGTGTATCCCAGCCCAGGCACTACTCTGACTGATTCAGGATGGTATTGCTGAGACAGTTAAAATGCAGGAGTGTTTTGCATTAACAAAAATATTTTGTATATATTTATAAAAGAAAAAAAAAACTTTTCCTGACAGTCTCTACAAAAGGACTCAGAAATATTGCAAGATATATTGTCTCAAAGATCAAAATTTAGAAGAACAGACTGCAACAAAGCCCCAGTCTACTAGCATGCTACTTTAAATAATTAAGAAAGGAAGATAAAAGTATTTGCTTGTTTTTTACTTCATAAAAGTACCTGTTTTTTTTTTTTTTTTAATGGGAAGGGGAGAGAACAGCAATTTATTACTTTCTTTAAAATACTAAAATTGTTACCTCTGATAATACCCCTTCAATTTTTTTTACATTACACCCATCTCCCATAATATCTTCTCATCTGTATTCATAATGTTTTTATTATTTTGACAGAATTTTTTCCTCCAATGCAAATTTAATTTTGCAGAAGAAAAATTTAAAAAAATATTCAAAGCTGTATTGTATCAATGCTTCTATATTTACAAAGGAGTTTTTCTTCATTTAAAAAATTTAAATATCCATGTATTTCAAATTTCGCACAGAATATTATAGAGCAAAATAAAAGTCACCAAAAAAAACCCCAATCAAAACCAGTTTGCTGATATTCACCTCCACCCTGGATGTTACTTTCGATTTTATAATGTTGTGAGACCTGATCAAATCTCAGCAATTTTTATATCTGGGGAATTTTTATGGCTTGGAAATTTCCTTATTTCTCATCATAAGAGCAATAATGCAAATAAATCTCAAAATAAAATTCTCTGACTTTATTTAACAAAATCCACTTTCTTGAAATAAAACATTCTAAAAGTTCAATATTGATTTTCAGAGACAGACATTTTCTCATAGTAAACGTACTTAATTATTTTTTTTGTCTAAATATACAATTTTCTCTTTTGCAGAGGTATTACTCTCAAGAGTGAAAAATAGGCAGTAAAACCCAAAAACAAGTTGGCAAAGGAGTAGAATCACATATGGCTCCAGATTGCAGCATTCATCAAGGAGTTGTATTTTGGTGTCAGAGGAACAGCAAATGATCAGATAATTTACCCCAAATTTCAGTACTGCAATATTCTTGCTCCTGTAATGACCACAATGGAATACATTTCTTATATCACTGAGACTAAATCAGGTCTACCTACACCACTATGACATTTATTTACACCTCACAGCCTGCACATCCTCCTTGGTTTATTCAGATTTATTTTCCATAGCAAACTAAGGAAACAAAAACAAACAAACAAAAAAAACCCACAAAAACTAAAAAATTGAAACAAAACAACAACAAAAAAACCCCAATAAAACCTCCAGAGAAAGGAAGTTACTAAAGGTTTATAAAAGTGGTCCTTCCACTGTGTTCAAACTCAGCTGCACTGAAACCAAATTTTGGTTTCAGGTATTTTTATTCAAAGAAATTAAAGCTCTACTGTGCTTCTGAGAACAAACACGTGCCTATCAAAATACTTAAAACTGAAAAGAAAACTTTCCTCTTCACAGTAGCAGGCACTTTTAAATTGCTTTGCCATTCATTTAATGCTACCTCTGTTGCACACCAAAATTAGGAAATCTGCTTTCAGACATCCTTGTTATTCTTCATAACAATGCCAGAGATGTCTCAGTGAAAGCAGAGCTAAAGCATGCTCAGTGCTTTACAGGAAATCTGCTCCCAAACACACAGCCCAATTAAGTGCCAAATGATGCCTTCAGGTCTCACCCACGTAATCCACACAAGGCCACAGAGATTTTAGCAGCTGAAATTTATGCCAAAAAAGAACATTCATTATTTGGTAAATTGCAAAATATACTTTTTTCCCCCCCCAATTGCATTCTTCTCATTTTGAAGTTTATTCCCTATGCAACTGGTTGAATTACCAATGGAAAAAAAACAAACTCTATTAGACAGGAACTGGTGAGGGGCATGAAGGATGAACAGATTTTTATTGTGGGACTAAACAGATGGAAAAATTTAAAGTTATTCCAAAACAAGCTATGGTGTAGATTCAGAATGCCTTTCCTGAGACTTCAGTTTGTGTCTCCACCAGCTCCTGTTTGGATAAATTTCCTTAGCACAGATAGATTTACATACAAACACAGTAAGGGTACTATTGTGCCTCCAGTTTTTAACTCAGCAGGGAGTCTCAAATATTTGCTGCCCACAGAGCCAGTATTGAATGAGACAGAACTCAACAGAATTCCTGCTTAAATGTTGACTGATTATCAAGCAAAGATTACACACAATAAAAGTCAATTTCTAAAATGATAAAACCCCACAAGCTATAAATTCCTAGTCATCCCCTCTGTGGCATTTTTAGTCTAGACACCTCTTTTAAATTGTTTCTTAAACATGTTCTTTTGAAATGAGGAATTTCTGAACTGTTGAGTCTTCCATGGGGTATCAGCTGGATCCCAGCTCTGACCATCCCTGTTTCCTTTGTTTTTTTAAAAGGGATTCTTCCAAATTCTGTAATGAGCAGCCAGCCACTCACAGCCTGGGAGTGGCAGAACCCTAAAAAGCTGAACCCTTTTCCAAGTGTTAAGCATATTCACTTTTATGAGCAAGGACATATTTAGACCTCAAAAGCACCTTTTAGAATTCAAAAAGGCTCCTGGAGATTTTTTTGAGTCTTCTTCTTTTATTGTTTTGGTTTATTTTTTGTTTTCCTTATTTGGTTTGGCTTTGGCTTGTTTTAAAGAAGTTAAATTTAAAAATTGGGTGAAATATCACAGAATATTTTAGGTAGTGCTGGAAAGGCCATGAAGAGTACTGTTAAATAGATATACACCTTACAGGAAGAAGGCATAGATTTTCATACCCTTATTCAACTCCAACTGCATTCCCTGTGGGAGTAAAAGGAAACTAAATTGGATTGGACCCTTTAGATTGAGAATAATTTTTTTTTTAATTAAATACACCCTTAGTAATCCAGAGTAATGGTAAACACTAATAGAATTCAGAAGCCAGCAGTAAGTTTTTGTACAATGACACCTTGGATTTTTGCAACCTTCTTTTACTTTTTTTTTTTTTTTTTTTGGTTGTTTTTTTTTGTTGTTGTTGGTTTTGGTGTTTGGTGGTTTTTTTTTTTTTTTTGGTTTTTGTTTTTTGCAAGTGACTTTGCACCAGGCTTTTGTAACCCAATGAATAAAATCCATATGATGTACTGGAGTGCACCTGCATTACTCACATTGCCACCTGGAAAGAACAGTCCATGTTAACAGTACACTTTTGTGGACAGGACAGGAGTTCACCACTGTGTCCACTAAAATATAGAAATCTACCAAAAAAGCAGGCATTTGAATGACAGTGTACACTCATTGGCCCACAGTAAAAAGATATTAAAATCTTAGTACATAGGCTAGGGCATACTGGAGTTAAACTGCAGGATTAATCTTAAAAATTTTTTGATAAAATTTTGGTCTCTACTTCTGAGTTGCATAAGAAATCTGAAATCCATTTACTTTAACTAAATAGACTCTGCATTTTTTGTTTTATCTCAGTTGAGAGATAAAAAAATAAGTTAAACTACTTTCCCCATGCAGATATTATTTTCTATTTTGTTCCTCTGTTTTGGTTTCTCTTTCTTATCCTATCTTTTTGTAACTGCAGGAAAGATGAATCATATCAGGCATTTTGCAGTTCTGTCTAAAAACAACGATAGCTATCCCCATTCTCCTCTCCTCAGCACTAAAACCCATGACTGGTTGCAGGAAAAATTACTCTGTACAGTTTTCTCTTTGAGGTTAATAACTCTAATTCCTAGGGAACACAATACCTTGATGAAGTCATAGTCATTAAAAGGGACCAGAATTATTTTAGGTCACTTCCACAGAGAGCTAAAGAATTTTAACATCCATAATATCAAAGCACAAATTCATTAGCATAATCAAATAGGCTAGTTCAAGTAATTACTGTTCAAAAACCACAATAACAGTCCTTTAGCTAAGCCTCAATGCCTCTATATCCCACACAGATACAACCACGGCTTTCTGTCCTACTGTGGCTGGACCATAAAAGTTGTTTATGGGTCTTTTGCTGTGTAAAAACAAAAAATTATAAGTTGTGCCTACAAAATAAAGTTCTTTAAACAGTAAGTTCTACAATGCTTTCATAAAGTGAAGCCATGATTTCCAGCTCACAGTCAGTGTGCACACTTAATAACCATGGTGGCTTAGCTGAGGCAGTGAAAATTAGCTGCAAATCTCTTAATCACTGTCAGCCAAAGTCACTTTAAATTGCAATGCAATATATGAGTTAAAAAATTCACCTCATTATTGTACATAAATCTTCTCCATATTTTAGGGACATATATAAGCTATAACTCATGCAATGGCTACTAATACTGTTAAAAGTCCTATATTATTCTTAGATTTGAAGAAGGTGTTGGAAGAATATCACATTGCTCAACAGAAGACAATAAACATACACTTGAATGATGGATTTTTACAAACTTCCAGGTTATATTTGCTAGGATTTTCTAATTCTCAATTCATTGAAACAAAAATATACATCCATCAAAAAAAAGTAAAGCCTTTTCCAACAATATTAATTTTTTCTTAAAAACTTGGAAAAAACATATTAATTATACATAAATTATTTGTCTCATAATAGTACTGATATTTGGTCTCGCAACAAGTTGATCTCAATGAACACAAAAACAAATCACAAATATTTATAACTGATAATCAATAAATTATGGGTACAATTAAAAGTTCCATCTGTTTCTGTTACCAGGTTCCTATGAAAGAAGAGTGAAATTTCAGAGTGTTGATTTTGTTCTCACTTGCAACACAAAAGTAACCACAAGCCAAAAAGTGCTTAAGGGAAAAATGATTATCTGATGTTTCTGGCTGTTTTCTATGAGTTTTCCCATGTAAATCTGTCGGCAGCTTCCCCACTTGGAACTCATTCCTTTGATCTTCAGTATAGAGGTGCTGGCATTCCTGGAAAAAGACAACATCACCAGCGTCCCTGACAAATTATGCTTTAGTGATTCAAATTGTTTAGCAGCTTGGGCTGGGTATTTCTCAGGTGGCGTCCCAATTTTTCCACGTTACTAAATGCATGCCCCCATTTTCTCTATTTTTTTCCAGGAGGGTTTCCTCTGGTTTGAGGCAAGCACATCATCTAACTCCTGCAGTAGTTAATTAGAAGTGTATGGCCCTTTCCCCACCATGCAGGTAAGGGCTAATTCAGCCTTGTCAGGTTTCTGGCATGGAATCATGAAAGAAAAGAAAAAAAAAAAATAAAATTAACAACTAGAGCAGCCATTCCTGAGTAGGAAGCTCTCTGAATTTTAGTTACCAGTTCCACAAAACTTAGCTCAGCAGCATTTCAGAGAAAAGCATTGCTACTCAATTTCCTGCAATAAACTGGCCAGATAACAGAATCAGAAGGGAAGTGTAAGACCATCCCTCTATTGTTGAAGCAATGTGTGCTGCTGGTATCAGGAATTCTAATGTTAGGTTTGCAATACTTAATTCTGCAGCTGTTAGTAGGTCCAAATTCAGACATTCTATTCTAAAATCCCCAAAACACCCAGCAGCAAGCAGCCTCTCCACCTGCAGCCCTTTTTCCTTTTCTTCATTTTGCTGACGCTACTCTTCTTTCACCAAATCTTGTAAAGGCAGTAATATTTCATTTTCAGATTTCTGAGTAACCAATCTGTCATTATTCCTATTTTCTTATGCCAACTCCACCCTAGGGGGAGAGGGATGACTTAGAAAATTTTCGAGAAAAGAAAACAAATTATTTTCTTTACACTGGCCACCCAGGATAGCAATTTTCAAAAAAACCTACACAGCTGCTCTCAAAAATTGCCTCAGAGGGGAGGCTGTGGCAAAGTTTCCCAAAGTTTCTACAGAAGGAATATTCAAGGTTTCCCTCAGAGGGAAATGGAGTGTCCAAAGCGCTCCAGGTCAGAGGACAGCATACACTTCTAACAGAAGTAAGCCCATGTAACCATTCAATATCATATACAAAATCTTTAGAGAGCACTAAATATTGAGCAGAAACATGAGGAAAAAAGCCCCAGTGACCTTAGGTAGATGACTTAGGCAGGTTCTTTGGAACATAAAAATTGAACAAAAGATTAAGGCCAAGTTTTTCAGTTACATAAAGTTATAAAAGTTTGAACTCCTCAGGATTCTTATTTTCTATTCATGACTGAATACGCATTACAAGGTTATACTTCCCCTACATCACAAGAAAAACAATAAAGAAGCCATGCTGCTGACATCTGCTTGGATGTCACTGGGTAGAGAGGTGAGCCACCCCAGGGAAGGCACAGCCACAATTTGAGAACTGCTGTGTGCTAAAGCTAAAATTACTGAGTACAACAACTCCTTAGGACAGACACACACATCGTGCTCTGAAAATGCATTCAGCACAGAAGGATTACATTTTTACAGATCTAAAACCTGATCTCCACCCTTACATTAAAAGATTAACCAAGTACTATTACGTGAGCATAGGTTTCTTTCTAAACAGGACTCAAACAACATCCTAGGCTTCATCTCATCCCTCCCCACAGCCATGCCACTCTTCTCATTTTCCTGTGATTACTTAAATGACCCTTAGCTCAATCCAATGGCTAAAATGTGAAGTCTGTGAAGCTAATTAAGAAAAACGCTAACTTACTTAGGAAAGTGATTACAAATAAAATAAAATCTCAATAATTTTTTTTTTTTTTTAATGCACACTTCTGCAAAGTCCCTTCCCTGAAATGTTGTGGTGCTTACTGCAGACAAAAAAATCTTTGGAGAGAAAAAAATATTCCAGATTATTTTTGTCTTAAATGTGGCCATATAGGATTCTAATGAGAATGGCATTAGGGGCAATTACCACCAAACTTGCTCCATTTCCAAATTCAAATCCAGCAGGACAGAAATCTCAGAAAAATTCTAAAATTGCAGAATAAATATTTCTCAGAAATTCCTTGGCAACAAGTCAATAGCACAGCTTTATGTTTCCTCCCCATTCCCAAAGTATGGAGAAATTCCAGGTAAGAAAAAGGCATTCCATTCCTCTTCCACGTAAAATGAGCCAAAATGACAATTCCTCAGCAAATTTTTTACTTTTGACAGAAACCTTAACACTAATTGATTTAAATTACATTAAGTATGATCCTAATAAGATGCATCTTCTTGACTAAAGCCAGGTCAGAATATAACAAGAACTGTATTATCCTCTTCTGAACCAAATTAATTCGCAGGTTTTTTTTTAATGTGTATTACACTGGGCTTGTTAGAGTGCCTAAGCATTCACGTACATGTTTGAATAATTACAGGCACAAACAAGACAAGTGAGATGCACTATTGCTATTAAGGTTCACTCTGATCTCCTGACTGAGCTTGGAAAGCAGAAGCTGCTGCACTCTCATTATATCAGCACCACTTGTGCCTCCAGTCTTTCCAAGCGTCATGCAATTACACAGAGAAATGTTTACAGCTTCCTTTACGCTCAGTTATGGGTCTCCTGGTGTGTGCAGTCATTTTTAATCAGAGTAAGACTTCCTCTGGTGGCTAATGTGGTCCTGCACCACGCAGCCAAACGCAGGAAACCAGCAGCAGCTCATCCAGGATGATATGAGAACCGTGAAGGATGGAGCACTTGAGACTAAGAGAGAAAAATGATTGTTTGGATACAGTGGAAGGCATGACATGAGCCAGCCCAAAAACGGTGCCAGAGGTGTGGAGGCACCTCCTGTGGATGTGCTTTCAGGGAAGGAATGCCTGAAGCACCTTCAGAGCTCCCATTCCCAGCTTCAGGAGTAATGGATGTGCTCTTTCATCATGCTAAAATATCAGAGCTAAGACAGAACAAACAAGGATCCAAAGTTCCAAACAAATCACTTTTACCAATGAAGGGACACGCAAACTAACGCACATTTCTCTTGCCAGCACATCACACACTGCCCTCACCAGAGAACAGCCCTGCTGCAACTGCTACTGCTTTAAAAACAAGAGAACCAGCAACATAAATATTTTGTGTAGTAAGTAAATATTGGAATAAGAGATTAGGAAAATATAACTTGTTTATCATTATCAGCAGAAATCTAGGCAGTAGTTTTCATTTCATTATCTTAATCTGCCCCAGTAGGAATATTTGCCTGTCCATTTAAACACTATACATGTTTCTTTATGATAGCAAGCTTAAGAAATTGGTCTGTAGTGTACACTGATTCATGATGACATTTAATATTCAGATTGCATTCAGCTAAAAATTAAAATTATGGTTTCCATAATAAAGAAACAAAGTTTAAATTTTAGTTTTGTGAATTACAATTCTGCTGCTGAAGCCAAACAAAAACTAAGAATGGCATCCATAAAGTCTGTTACAAAATCAGAAATTGCAAATATCCTAATGTCACAATAGTTTTGTGGTCAAGGCAAGAACTGATTGGGCATCACCAGCTTATAGCATGGACTTCAAAGAAAAATGAGAAACAAAATGCTATGAGGAACAAATTTTCTTTATGTATGCATGATAATGGCTAGATGATCCTTTCCTTGTAAATACCTAGTTTGCCATCAGTTCTGAATGGCAGAACTTAGTGTTCAGATGAGGTTTTGCTGTTTGCTAACAAAGACATGCTATGTAAAATTCACCACCAGATTTGTTCTCTGTATTCTCAACATTCTGGTGAGCATTGGCATGGCAGCCAAATATACTGGATAAGGTTGGTGGGGCTGATGATGTAATATGAACTAATGCCTTCACCACACTTAATTTAAAATTTATTGCATGTAAAAAATAGACAGATTTAATGTAATGTTTTGAAACCAGCATGAAAAGTATTTCAGTATGAGAAAGGCACCTGATTGGATGCAAAATCTAGCAATTTTAAAACTGAATTACTCCAAGAGTCCTACAATGCTTTCTCAAAACAAGAATTGCTAAAATTCCAATGGGTTTGTCTTACTATGACAGTATGTGAGTGCTGAAGTGAAAATGACTCATTAATTTTAAAACTTTCATGTACAAGAGGGTCTTTTTACTAAGAAACTAAATTTTTATTCCCGAAAGCAGGAAAATGCACAGAAGAAGGAAGTTGAGTTGAAAAGCTAGTAGCCATGGAAAAGCCATTCTTCTCAGAGAAGAACAGGTTAATGTCTTAAGAAATGTTGATATTTCTTTCTTCATCACTAGAACTTTTATTTTTGTTTACTAATAATTTACTATCCAGCTATTGTATTCCTTCAAAACAAAGCACTTATGCTGTTTTATCTCTGCAATACCACAGAGGTTTTTAGCAAGTAGAACGGAAAACAAGTCAGATGAATTTATTCCAAGTGTGCTTATTCACAACAAATAAGGCTTTCTACAAGATTTTTGTTACACTTTTAGAAATAGCCTTATGCCATCAATTTCCCTTATATAATGTACAATAAAACACCTTGCAGATAAAGCTACAATAACACATGGAAGGAAAGACTGATAAAAGATAAATGCCTCATGATAATGAGAAAACTTAACATACTTTCTAATGAAGTTCAAAATAATATAAAGAATTATTATTTTAATATGCAAATTTCCTACCACCTACATGTCTTTAATTGAAATTGCACTCCAGCTTTTTTAAGCCATTATCATGTCATAACTGAAAAATGCCAAAATTAAATTAATCATAGAATTGACATTTCTTTACTTGAAAAATGTGGCAGCCTGCATGGGGCAGGACTTATGTTCCCTGCTCTGCTCCTCCACTACTGGCTGGTGCATGCCTTGAGGTTCTCTTTCAACTCTACCTGCAGCTGTCAAACCTGCAGAGCACAGCTTCACCAGCCACTCTGCACTCTCACCTGTATTAGAAAGATTTCCACCCATTTCCATAATCTTTTACTGTCTTCAACTGTTTCTTGCTCTCCCAAGCAAAATTCTCCTTCTTTCAAAGGCAGACTGAACATTCAGTTTGAAATGTCCCAATATCAGTAAATTCATCGGATTATAAGGGCTATATTTTAGATATATATAATTAAACTGATACTTGTTTTAGTAGGAAGATATCAAATCAACATCTCCTGTATTTTAGAGGGAAGAGTAAACTAGAGTAAAATCTTGGCTGCTGATTTTCTCTTGCTTTACTAATTGAGTACACCTTTTGCTTCTATAATCTGAAAAGAACATGAATTTTGAGTGATATCCTGCACATTGTCAAAATTATGAAATACCTCCTGTATCTATGACTGACTTGCTGACAGTTGCTAAGGAATTCTCCTTTTTCCCTCCCCTGTAGAAATTTTAAGGCTACAAGTGGCTCGAAGGAAGAAAACATCATGTGGGCTGTAACTTCTGCAGTTCTGTGAAGTTCCTACAAACTCTGCAAGAAAGGGACTGGGGAAACCAGAAGAGGTGGCTTGGGCAATTGGGGTAGATCAGCCCAATAAATTAGAGCTGCTTTAAAAAGACTGTGTCATCCTTATTTGTTCCAGGTTCCAGCAGAAGTCACTACCAGAAACATGTATACACTATATTAGCTCGTACTCTGTCAGCTTCACAGGCAGCACACCCAGAGGAAAAAATAAGGATAAGAGCAAAAAATCAACAGGAAAACTTCAATGCAACTGTGACATTGCCCCTAAGTTTTGTTCTTTATTGATTTTCCCCAAAAAATAATTGGTTAGCAAAAAACATGATCAAAGCTAGCACATACTGCTCTCACTTAAAAGCATTACTCAAAGATCTAACCCATTTTACAGTGATCACTTCAACAATGAATTAAGTGAAATAAAGTCTGCACACAATTAAATTGGTCAATGCAGTAAACAAAATTAACCCATGGTAGCAGTGGAAGTTTCAACTGCTATCCAAAATTCACACCCCTTCTTTTGTTTTGAGAGTTTCAGTGCCAAACTGTTTTTTTTCAAATATATATTTGTAAATTGGAACAGAAACTTTTTCATTAATGCCATGTCAGGATGAACAATTATTAGCACTGACTGAGTAGAACATTTCCTTTACCCACTGGAGTACAGCTCCTTACAAAACTGAAAGATCAGCATAAAATGATCTAAAGAAAGTGTGAACCTTGCAGATTTATTTAACTGATGTTAAATGAAACTGAAGAAAGCACACTTTTTACATTGTAGGCTGTTTCATCAGAAGTGTAATTATTTGCGTTTTAGTTTTGCGTGTCAAAGCATAATTTTTCTTTACTTGCTAGTCTTTTCCAGTTTTTAACATATGTCTTGATCATAGAAGATAATCTTACTCATTTGCCTTGTGGAACAGTGAAAATCTACTTGCACCTAACAGCAATTTATAGAGGAGCAAACTCACTTTTCCATCTCAGCAAAAATTCTTTCAAATATTTGTAAGCTGCTTGGTTAGAGTTTTCAGCCAGAATCTCACAGCATGGATTGAATTTGTTATATTTTTGATGCACACCTAAAGAATTTGTTAAAGGTTTGCAACACCTAACAACCACATCACGCAGTAGGAAACAACAAAGCTGGTTTATTATCTGGAGTCCGGATTATATCAGAGGTAAGAGTTCTAAACGTATTCCTAAATATCATTCTCCATATGTGAAGATCCTTCCTGACCTATGCCTGTGGAAGGAAATCATACAGCTGAACAGACAGGTTCAAAATTTTAATATAGTTTAAAGTAACACTCACTTTTAGAAAGTCCATTTATATCTATTCTAAAGAATAATATTTTCAGTCACTGCCTGTTTTTGCAACATGTATCCCTGTCAGAAAACCCATATTTTTGTAACCTGCATCATGGTCAGAAAACCCATACTACAAGAGTGTATTTACTAGCAGAGATAAGAGACGTGGATAGGTTAGATCAACAGTCATCAGTTCTTACCCAAATGCTTAAAACAAGACCAAAGACAGATGAAAAGGTTAACATTAACTATCACAGTCATATTAAAACTATTCTGTGAGGGCAAACTGATGATTCATCAGTTTTGCCTTGACATTTTCAGGTTTTTTTTTTTAACTCTTTCAAGCCAAAACCTAAATGTTACATTTTAAATTTCCAGGTATTTATTAGTAGGTGTGACAGAAATAAGAGTCATCTGTTTAGCTAGATAAACACAGAGCAGACAAGCAAAAAGGTGTCACCCACCATTCCAACTGGAAAGAAAAGTCATATACAAAATAGATTAGATAGGATACCATTTGTAACTTTGTAAGCTACCAAATGAATATTCTACTGAAAATAGAACTGATGAATGTACCTCAAGGTCAATTTTCCTCTCTCCAAGCAGTTTTGTCATTTTTCTCTCATGTTGCAATATGAGTGAGGAAAGGCTGCATCACAGGGGACCCACCATTTCAAATGTGCACTCACCTGGCAAAACTCAAAGGTAATGCTTTAAAAACCTCTCACTCATTTCAAGTTAAAGGCTAAATCAAACAGAATTATGGGAGTGGGTGAGGAAAAAAGATTTGTTTTGCCCTTATCCCAATATCTCTGGAAAGGCTTCTGCACCACGGTATCAGCAATACTCTTCTCAGGCATACATTCCTACACATTTGCATTGGAGGCCTAATTTGCTTTCACTTGGCAATAAAGCCAGAAATATGCCAATTTGTAAATTATATCATACAGTATATATTTTTATAACGATAATTCAGTAATATACTTATATAATTATATAATAATTATAAATTTTGAGCTATATTATACATAATTATATATAATATATAATTAGAGTTAAATATAATTATATGGAATTATTTTAAAAAATATATTATACACAATAAATTATATAATATTAATATACTCATGAAGAAAAAAATAATGACTTGACATTCATAAATAATATTTGATCCCTCTGTTTCCTCCCACACTCCAAGCTAGCAAATATCAGCCATTGCAATCAAGTCAGGTTAACTCATGAGGCTGATCTTTAGCTGTGCTGACTCAGCTGATGCTGATGAGATTTTAAAACTTGCCGCTTTCTTGATTAGGTTGCAATACTGAAGCTTGTTAGCATCACCAGACATCTCCTGTCTAGACACAAGCCATGTTTTGGGGGTGTGCATGTTTTTTTTAATGCTTTGTCTTCTGTGCAGCCTGACCACGTTACTGTTGTACTGAAAGCACCATCAGCCTAATCTCTACAGACAAAAACAGCTCCTTTCAGGAAAAATCCAGTCACTGTCAGAGAAGGACAGAAAATGTGGCAGGTTTAGAAATCCTTTAACGTGAGGGTAGTGAGTGGTTGGAAGAGGTGCCCAGAGAAATTGTCAATGTCCCATCTCTGGAAGTCTCAAGGCCAGGCTGGATGGGGCTTGGAGCAACCTGCTCTAGGGAGAGGTGTCTCAGCCTGTGGGAACTCAAAACGTCCCTCAGACATTTTTGGATGTTCCAGGCCCAGATCAGAAGCATTTGAGACCCTGGCAGGCAGCTGGAAACAGCTGTGATTTTGGGTTTGAGCCATGGAACGATTTACCAACCTTGCAGGAAGAACAAGAAGTCACAAAAGTTTAGATATTATAGCAGAAGTAGTCACAAAACATTAAAAAACTCTCAAACAAAAAGAAATACAAACAAATCCATATAGAAACTTTGAAATAACAGGTTTGAAGAAAGTAAGGAGTTTATGAAAGCAAAGAAGAAATGTTTGTTCATGGGGTATTTATGCATAATATGCTCAGTCTTTCTGCATTTCATTTGGCTGCAAAGGTGAGAAAGGAAAGAGGATCCCAGCCTGGAGGAAATCAGACCTGCATAATGTAATCAAGGATAGAAAGGCATCCTATGTTAGCTATAATATAAAACAGGTAGAAGCTGAAATGAGGAAAGATGAGTCAAATAAGGAAAATGGACATAAACTGTGCAAGAGGCTGAGCTAAGACTTTTCCTCAAGTACATTAAAAACATCATGAAGACAGATCAGTGGGGTTCAGAGAGATGGCAAAAATAATGTGCTGACAGCAAAGATATGAATGAAAGTAAATGTATTCCTGAATTAAGGAATCACAACAGGCCAGGGTCATCAAGAGGTGTCATTTACAAAGGATGAAAAGTTGTTATTGGGAATGATACAACATCAGAGAATGTTAAAGGAACCCCAAGACATACAATGACAATAAGACTACAGGGCATCAATAGAAAACAAATTATATTGAGATAACCTCCCATCTTTAATCGATTCAGAGACTTTTCAGTGATATACTGAAAAAAAAAGGAAATCACCTTGAAAATCCAGCATACATTTAAATTAACATTTTTCTTGGAGAAATCAAGTGAAAAAAGCTGTCATAGTGACCATTAAGATCTCAGCTTTTGTTACATTGTTTTCTAAACAGAGGGTGGTTATCTTTGTAATGTATTTATCCACGCTACCCCAGGTTTGATGAGCAATGCCTTAAAAATAAATATATATTCATTTAGGATTGCTATCGTGCACATTAAAATATGGAATGAGGATATAGAGATTGATGAGGCACAAAAATAGTACTGTATCTGGAGTTAGAAAACAGTACCCACCAAATCAAGTGAAGATTCCAGCACTACAGGAGCAGTCCCTCTGCCCACTGATATGATCATTCACACAGAAATCCCATAAATCATGACAACTGCACAGGGAAAGCCTACCTAGTACCTTCTTTTCTATTTTGAATTAGGAGCTTTGTCCTCTAAAATACACAATTAGTGTCAATATCCTTAAGTAGCCAGAGATTGTTTTTTATTGTTTTTCAAGGTAATTTCTAATGTGCCTTTGTTGCTTTTTTTATACACAGTCACAGCCAGCAGGAACTACAACTCTTGACTAAGTAATTGCATAATGAATTACAGTTTCTCTTCTAACACTAAAATAAATCAGATTGTAAGCCTGGAAGTTATATGGGTGCAGAATTTACCAGGGAGGCTGCTGGCCCTGTGCACACATTTCAGTGAAAAGCCCCCAAAACAGTGAAGGACGAAGCATATGTTTAATTATACTTAAGAGTGTGCTTAAGCATTTCCTAAATTGGCATTGTAAGTAAGATTAAATTTTCTAGGGTGTCAGTCTGACACTAATTGTAATCAGTGCAAATTTATTCTCTCTGGTATTTGTTCACAGAGCAATCCTGATTTCAGTTGAATGCATCTAAGGCTCTCATAACACAGCTCAGATATTTTCTGTCTGTGGGTTGAAATCAGCAGTGACTGCTCATGAGAATTTCTGGATTCCTTACATCTCATGGAATTGTTTTATTCTGCTGCAAAACAAAAATTTTAAAACATTACGCTAGCCATATTGTATGAATAATTAGAAAAAAATATTTATCTAAAAGTAAAGACATGACTAATAAAGTGCAATTCTGCCAAAACTATTTCCAATCAACAGGTTTTAAGTGGAAGTTCCTATGCCATATTTGTGCTATAGATAGTTGAACCTGTCTCCATTCTCTGCTGCCTGGGGAGCTTAGCTGAAATAACTTCAGTGCACAGAGACA